ACCCTTGCCGGCTCAGCCTACGCTACACTGCGTAGGAGTTCTACACCATGGATAGCTGTGTCCAAGTCTTTATCGGGTAGCTGTGTACCAAGGCAAATATCCGATGTTGAGGCAGGCACTTTTGTCCAAGGACATCTTGGATGCTCAGCTACTGAGGGAATCCGTCATCCGAGCTGAACCCGGCGGAGAAAAAACAATGATTTGGATGCTCAGCTACTGAGGGAATCCGTGATCCGAGCTGAACCCGGCGGAGAAAAAACAATGATATATACCTTCAGCCAATTTGCCTCTGAGGCACTGTCGTGAATTAACATTGGACAGTCCTCTCCAAGTCTAACACGGCATGTCTTATCCAATATAATTAGAACAGACCAACAAAATTATATTGTCGGCCGTTCTTATCCAAGTTTAATTCAGCTTGGCCAACCTCTTTCGAGGATATCTTGGCTATGAGTGTCTGAGGGTAAGGAAAACCTTGGACAATCCTGACCGAGGTTTCCTTGTAAGATCCTTTTTTTGTAGAAAATTGAAAATTAAAAATTAAAAACTGAAATATCGAAATAAAAGAACACGAATTACAAAAAGAAAATTAGAAGTCACTAATAGACATCAGGAATCAAAAATTACGACTCAAAAAATGAAAATTAAAAATTGGCAAAAACCAAAATTTGAAAATTAAAATTACATAAATCAAAAATCCTTAAAACCAGAAAATCAAGAATCAAAACTGGAACTTCAAAGTTCAAGATGAAAATAATGAATGATAGAAAATACAAAATAGAAATGACTCCGGATTTGAAACTCTTCCAATGGTGAGACTTTGCCTTTGGACTTTGACAAAGCTGAGATCAAATCCAACCTTGAAGAGAGATTTCAAACAGAACTACACGTATTCAATACCTCAATTGATATTGACTTCAACTCCAACTTCAACCTCGACTTTGACTTTGACTCTGACTTTGACTTTGACTCTGACTTCAACCTTGACTTCGACCTCGACCTTGACCTCAACTTCAACTTCAACTCCGACTTCATTTGACTCCATGAACAAGCAGAGTTGCACATTCATCACAAGCAACTTGCAAGTTCTTAACTGCTGCCATGCCGTACGCGACGACCGTCACATGGAGGAGTGTCAAATATATAAGTCAAGTCTCACAGCTTATCTCAAAGCTCTGATATCATGACAAAATGAATTAGTCCCAACACCAGATACTGGGTTCATGAGCAATTTTTCACAATAGTGCGTCAAGAGATTAATTAATCTCACCACCCTTATAATTTAATACCAACACCCTTATATATTAATACCAGCACCCTTATAAATTTGTATTCACACGTTGTAGGAACCCTTGCTGAAAAGATGAGTTTTAGCAAGCTGTAACTGAGTAGGGAGCCAAAGAAATAATGACAACTACCACACACACACAAAAGAAGTATATGAGGTGTGCAAATTAACTTTGGATAGAGTTAACTAGCCTACTCTAAATTTTACTGAGCCTTTAAAAGAGCCAAAAGACCGGAAGAAAGAGAGGAATATAATACTTTTAGGAGTACTACAGAAATGAGAAAAGGGTAAAAGAGTAGTATAGAGTGTATTGTGATTTAAATAAGGGATAAAGGGATGGTAAGGTGCTTAAATGAATAAGACTTGTAAATAAAATAGTGTGTACTGAACACAGATGAAAAGAAAGGCTACACCACAATTACTACTTCAGACTATAATTCCCCAAAGCAAAGTAAAGTTTAAATATAACTCAGTGAAAAGACTAATCCTAAAGGAACTACCACAGACTACCCCCTTGAATACAACTTGCAACCAAATCAACAGACAGACTACCCTCTACTAAGAACTAGACTAATGAAAGATAAAACCTGACAAAGCTATAAGCTAACTACCATCCACAAAGTCAACGTCCAACAACTTATTGGCCAATGTGCTGTAGCCTTATACTTTTCTAAGCCTTTCAAAACCTAGGTTAATATGTTAGAATTCTAGATGAAGTGTTCAATGAAGCAAACTAAGCATATGATAGAATAATAGAACTCAATGAATTATCTATACCAAAGGATATACCACACACTTTCAATCAGAGGGTGAACATAGAGAATATTAGACTCATGTAGAGAGCAAAGAAAAAGTCTCCTTATATCAACTCAATATAAGGGGCAAAAAGTGATCACAGAAATAAAAAGAGAGTATAGGCCAGTTGGTACTGCCAATGAGCTATAAACTAATAGGAACTTTCCTGGATAAATTTCTGGATAACTTTCAAATCCTCCCTGTCAACCACCTGCCTTATATACACACAGCCAGACACAATTGAATAAAGAGAAATTGAGATCATAAAAAAAGATATGAGAGAACAAACACAGGCCACAAATATGTACACACACAACTTCCAAACTCTGCCAAGACTATTTCTCACCAACATAGATAAACTTTGTACATTTGAAATATGTAATCCTCCTTGCTGCACCAAATAAATAATTGAATTGAGAGAGATTGAGTGAAAGAGAAAAAAAAAGAAACTAAGCTTCCACCCTGATTGTACCAATTACATAACTGAATGAAACTGAGATTGAGTAGAATAACTGAACTGATAGAGCCAAGAGAAACTGAGAGAACAAAAGAAACTGAGAGAAAAGATCACACATCCATCCTTTACATAACTTTCCCACACTAAATTGAACATGTAACTTCACACACCCCTCACTTCTCCCATCTTAGATAATTCAATTGTTGTTTAATGCTTTGACTAGCTAGAGTTAGCGGCGGGCGCCGCACTGAATCTTTATGATTGTATGTTGCTTTAACAGCCTATTGTGTACATTTATATCATGATGTCTCACTTGGCATACTTTGAGATTGCCTCAAAGATGAATCAATTTAGCTCAACAATAATCAGAAAAGGCATGACATGTAATTGTCTATAAGACTCTGATGCTGAATGTAGTTGTCAATAATGGCAGTTGACTTGGACCAGCTGGTGCTCTGGATTCTTGGGGGAAGCCAAATAGGTTCCCCTATCAATACAGATCTACAATAATGATGGAATAGACTATGCATGTGAAATTCGATTCTCTGTGCAGCTATAGAGGGAGGTTTTGTCCTGTGCCATCAGAAAAACATGTATGTTATCAAGACCTCAAGGATTAGCACCTGTTGATACATTCTGAATCTCGGATTGATCAAAGCACATTGGTGTTCAAACAATGATTTCAGCAGAAAGATAAAGCCTAACACAATCTGAAGCCTTGTCATACTGAAAAAAGTCAAGGTTAGGGACTGATCAAGCCTTTACAGATGACTACTTGATAAGGTGGAAGAGTTGACATGCAGCACATATCTGAAAATAATGAATGTGGACCACACCACACTTTTTGTGTTTGATTGGCATGCACAGATAGCTATACTTTGAAAAAAATGTTACAGTAGCAGTACATATGATTGGATGGATAGCTTCAATGAATCAGTATTTTCACCAGGAATGTAACCTCTGATTTACCATCAATACCAATTTGATCTAAAGTGCTACTTCAATGAGTTAAACATTTTGAAAACAATCTTAGTTTGAGTTGTAATAAAGATGAAGAAGTTCCAGTATGTGTTAGCAGTAAGACTCTCAATAGAATGGCAATTGGAATCCAATTGACTGCTTGATGGCTTTATGCTGTTACATCTAACATCTTGACCAAAGTTTTTGCTAAAATAAATTGTGTTGATCCATTGCTACTTAATTGTGAAGAAATTCCAAAGGAGTCTCCAGCAAAATCATCAAAAATTGCATCCTACTCAAAGCCTCCAATCAGACACACAAAGCCTCCAATGTTGAGTAACAAAAATCAGGCAGAGCTAGCTCTTCTGACCTGAACTTGATGTGCGCATAGAATTCAGTCAGCGCCCACAACATGTTCCTGAGCATATATTGGAAAATTTGCTGTACATCATCAGGTAGCCTTCAATTCAAAGCCACCCCTTCATCATGATCCTCAATATGTTTCCTTACATCTCCTTGCATCACTCAAAAAAGAACTCTGAACCCCGTTCATAACTAAATTTATCCATGTTGGATTCCTAAATCAATTTATCAAAAAAATCTAGATCATCAGGTTTAGGTAAAATATTACACATTTTAATTAATTTGAATGATGTATTGAGATCTGTAGATTAAATGGGTTTGAGTGCCTTGTACTATTGGATTAATCTCAAAGGTTCAGATTGACTTGGGAAATCTGAATGGGTTGGGTTTGGTTGGTATCTGTCTGTTACACAAATATCTATTGCTAATAAACTGTTGACTATTGTGACTGATTCACATAATATCTTGGATGTGTGTAGGATTTGAAGTCTTTTGTAGAGGTCCTCACCATCCAGTCAGATGGTATCTTGGTCTTGTCCTTTGACATGATTGGAGGTGGTGGGGTGTAAGAAAAGTCTAAGAAAGTCCAAGAACAGATGAAAAAGCTGAAAGACAGTGCTGGGGTGCACCCACCTTTAATTTTGATGTTTGAGTGTGCCTAAAAGGCACATTTTTTTTGTGCTACACCCACCCCCATAAATACTGATAAATACCTTGTCAAGCCATTATTTTGGTTTCCACTATTTTGAGGGGGCTTTAGTTTGAGCTTATGTTGTCTAATCTGTGTCTCAGACAAAAACCCCATCCAAAGAAAGAATTTTGATCTAAAATCAAGACCTCCAAGTTCATAATATATATAAAATTACAATCAAATTATGCTGTACATCATCAGGTAGCCTTCAATTCAAAGCCACCCCTTCATCATGATCCTCAATATGTTTCCTTACATCTCCTTGCATCACTCAAAGATAACCAATCACCATAGTATTGTCTTGTTGTATAGTCATTCAGTTTCTAATCCAAAACCAAAAAAAGTTCCCAAAGAAGAGCAAAACAATCTAAATATCTTCATATCCACCATCCACCACAATACCTTCATGAGTAATTTTAGAAATTAAATCATGCAGCATTGGCAGGTTATTCAACAGGGAACTTGATGCAAATCAAGACATTTGATTCAAATTGATTGACAGATATTCCAGAGGCTTTATATGAGACTCCAATGGCTAAATTTGTGTTGTGACCCAATGTTTAAAAACTTGAACCAAATCAAATCAGCAATCGCACTTGAGAATCACAAAAGAAACAAATTAGCTGGAAAATCTCTTGGATTCCAAAGTTTTGGAATTGAAAAAGAATTGAAAAAGCATACCTACCTTTGAAATGAACAGTCGCTGTAAAAGGTGCATAATCTTTGCTATTGAGATAAATTGCATCTGGATCTGATTTTCCTCTCACAGCCTCGACATCACCAGCGGGACCTAAATCTGTGGCAATCACTACTAAGTTGGAAACTTCTGGACCAAAATAACATTAGGACCTATGCTTGAAACGATAATACAAACTAAATACATACTGCCATCTATTGTAGGTGCCAATGTATTAGCCTTTGTAGGATCAGACGTGGTCACAGGAACCAATGACAAAGGTGTCCCCACAGGAGCATTGGATGAGGTGTGGTTTACCACTTGAGATTCCTACAACTGTTTGATCCAATGACTGTACTTGTCCAAGTACTGGGTGAGCTCCCGAGAAGCCATATGTAGTGCTGAAATCTGTAGCAGTGTTTGGCAAAGGTCCACTGGTGAGCGTGATCAGTCCAGTGACTGAAACTGTGGTGTGATGGTCTTAAGAGTGACTGATCGACTCAAGTTCGGGTACATATCAGTCCCAATACGTGGATAGATGGCTTTTGTGAAAGGTGACACATACCGCTAGATGATGACTTTCGCACTTGTTTGTCTTCATCTTTATTATCGTCACCAGAGGCAGGTTGTTGGCTCGGTTTTTTCTCACTTTTATTTGATGAATTGGTTCGATTAGGATGTTTAACTGAAGTCATTTCACGTTCATCTCTGTATTGTTATTCTTATCAGCGATGTTGATGTGAATGTTGCGATGATGAATTACATGACTGTTAGGTCTTACTGGATAATATGATTGTTCTTGATATGATCGTTCTTGAAGTTCATTAGGTAGAAAATAAATGCACAAGATTCCAAATCGATGAACCAAAGTCAGTCACTGTAACATCACATAGGGTCACAAAAAAAAGGTGAAGTTTGAAGCTTACAAAACTAAGTGAGCCGGTGATAATCTCAATTGTGTCGTCTGATGTGGTCTCAATGTTTTTTGGAACAATTTAAAAGAGGTCAGTGATTTAATCAAATTTGTTTTGATCATTCCTAGATAGACTTACTTCCAATCTCTGTTGATGTGACATTGATTTGGGTGGAATACAATTGCAAGATTGGCAAATGTTTTGGTGATTCAATTTGGAATC